AGCACTGTCAGCACCCTAAGAGGCCCCAGCCCTGTGCTGGCCACTCAGCAGGAGCTGGCCACAGTCTGGCCCTGGGCTGCCCAAGGAAACTTCCTGCCTCTGTGGAAACCATCCACAGCTCTTCCCAGGGAGACAGCCATGGCCCCAGGAATGACTGGGCTCTGCGATGTGATCAGTGTGGCTGAGGAGCTGGGTTTTCAATTTTACTCACTTCTAGTCGATTTAAATTTAAATAGCTGCATGTGGCTGATGGCCCTGGCGGGGACAGTGTGGCAGAATTGCAGCTACCTTTGCAGCTGGAAGAGCCATTTCTCGCACAGCTGGTGGCTGCTGAGGGGCACAGGGGAGCAGCTCCCAGCTGCTCATGTCCCTGTCCCCTACCCTGAGCCCCTTCTGCCTGGGTCCCAAACGACAGGTCATCAGCAGCCTGTGAGCCTCTGTCCCCAGACACTGCTACAGACAGGACAAGGTCCATGGACAGCGAGCCCTCTGGGGCTCTGTCACGGCAGAGGACACTGAGGCTGTTTCTAGGTGAGGGCCAGGTGGAGGCTGCAGCCTCTCCAGGTCTCTCCTGAGGGTGGACTTCAATTCCCTTTCCTGGGCCCTGGGCTGGCCAGGTGGCCCTTGTGGATGGTGTGCTGGGGTTTGAAGGACAGCTTCCCAGGCTGCTTCTTGGACACCATTTTTGGGAACTCTGAGCTGCCATGCAGGGTAACAAATACTCAATGCTGCCACTCTGGGGACTTGTATGGGCAGATAGCCTTCTTACTGTCCCCACACCTCCAAAGATCTCCTGAGACATCCCAGATGCATGGAACTGGAGGGTGAAAGCAGGTCAGAGACTCAGATCGGAGAGCTAGGCTTCCCGCCAGAAGGAATGCTGAGTGTCTTGAGCCTCAGTCTCCTTGTGTGGAGAGTGGGTTTAGCAGCACCCTGCCTCCCTCTCCTGACCCACAGGAGTCCTAGCAAGGAGAGATGAGTTGTCTCCTGTTCACCAGGGTCAGTGACACTGCAGACAGACTCAGATCCAGAGACAGCTCAGGTTTTGCCAGACCCTCCAGTGAGGGGCCACCCCCGAGGTGGCAATTTCCTATATTGCTGGGCTGCTTGCTTGGGTCACATAGTGAACGTGTTGCCTGCCTAGGATGAGAGCTGAGACTCAGTGGACCTGCAGTTGAGGCTTTGTTCATTAGATTCTTGATCTGGATATAGGGACATGATCTGGACCCCATGATCCTAGAAGACAGGGCCTTACGATGCCAATGCAGTGTCCTATTTCTTGACCTTTTCTTTACCTGGTATAGGGACTGAACCTAGTGCCTTTGTGCTGAGCTACATCCCCAGTCTTGTTTTAATTTTTGGTTTGGAGATTTTTGGTCTTGCTAATTCCCTAAGTTACTCAGGTTGAGCTCAAACTTGCAATCCTCCTGCCTTAGTCTCCCATATGACTCCTGGTTCCTAACAGGCAGCTCAAGACCGACTGAATCATTGAGGTGAAGATGGAGTCTCCTTTTGGGTCTGAGCGGTCCCAGGCGCGCACCACTTGGGTGGGGGGAGGAGAGGCTGACGGCAGCTCCCTGGGACCAGCGATCTGCATCCCCTTGTCCACCACAGCCCCACAGAGCCTTCCCTGGAGGCAGGATGGGAAGGTGAGTTCTTGAGCCCTGAGAGGAGAGGTTGGTTCCCAAGACAGGGCTGACCTGGGCCTCAGGGGTGCCCAGGTGTCTCCAAGACCCTGAAACTATGGTCTTCACAGGGGGATGCCCAGGTGTGCAGCCTCTTTTCTTTGACGCTCAATCTATGTCACCCCTGAAGGCCACAGAAGCCAACAAGGGCAGGCTTGAGGCCACCCTCGCAGTGGCTCCATGACACTGCAGGTGATGTCCATTTCTGCTTTCCTCATACTCCCCAAAGCAGCCCCTTAGGGGCCAGACTAGCAAGCTAGTGTTCCCTAGAACTGTGGCCAGTTACAGGGACACCCAGGTCAGCTGGGGTGGTACTGCTGGGCATGAGCTCCTGCCTCATCCACAAGATTATGTCTCTGTCTAAAATACGTATTAGCTCAGTGACAAGGCCTTGTGTTCAATCCCTAGTCTCTCTCTGTGTCTCTCTTTCTGCATCTCTCTGTCTCTGCCTCTGTCTGTCTGTCTGTCTGTCTGTCTGTCTGTCTGTCTGTCTGTCTCTGTCTCTCTCTCTCACACACACATACACACACACCCCAAATCAGAAGGGAGGTGTGGCCTGTGGACCCCACAGAGCAGGTGGACTTGGAAGATCCACCAGGAGCCTGCAGGGGGCGACACCATCAAACCTGGCTATAGTGCTAGCTTAGTAGGTATGTGAGGTTACTGAACCTCTCTGAGCCTCACTATTATCCTGTATAAAATAGAGAAGCTGGAGATTTAGCTCACTAGTTTAGCACCTGTCCGACAAGCATGAGGTCCTGAGTTCCATTCCAGATACCACCCCCAAAAAACCCTAAGCTCCCAATACAGAGAGGCTTGGAGATGAGTAGGTAAAATAACGCAAGGTACACAGGGTGAGATCTTGAAAAAAGGGGGGCTAGTGTTTGCCAAACCCAAGAGCAACGGTTCTTAAACTTTGTGGGACTACAGGAAACCTTTGGGAATCTGAGAAAGCCTAGAATTTCTCCTAAGCAGGGTGTGGAGGTACATGCCAATAATTTCAGAATTCTGGGAGGCTGAGACAGGAGGATCACAAGTTTGAGTCCAACCTGAGAAATTTAGACAGACCCTGTCTCAAAACTTTAAAAAGTGTATATCTATAGGTACAGCATGATTTCCAAGGTTTGTCTGTCCTGCAAAACTGGTATGCTTGAGATGGGCCCAGAGCCCTAAGGAAAGCCAGCTGCAACCTTGGGGCTGTAATCAGAGCCCCATGCCTCTGGGCAGTTGTGGGCTGCAGGCTCCTCCACAACCAATAGCTCCCTCCTCCCTGCAGGATGCTGGTCTCCTTGATGTCCTCCTGTGTCCCTGGGGCACCACTCCTTTCCATCCAGAGGGACTCATCAACAGGGAACCTCCCTCCCTCACCTACTTTTTCATCTGCAGCTCCATCTTCAGGGCCTGGCCTGGCTAGCATCTGGAGGGGAGGGGCCAACCCGCCCTGGTTTCCTCTGCTCTCCCTGTACTTCCTGCCCCAGGTGAGCTGCTTATTCTGCAAGGCAAGCCCAAGGTCAGCCAAATTAGAGAAGTAAAGCACAGATCTATATCCAGGACTTTTCTCCAGCATAGTCTGTGCCTTGCTCCTACATGGGAATGACACTAGGGCCTCAGCCTAGGGGAAATTTTCTGTTCAACTCCAGGCTTTAACAAGGTGGAGCAGAGGACTCCAGCCTTGCGTCTCCTTGGTGGTGCTTTATCTCACCTTAAATAGCTGCAGCTGGCCTTTTCCAATCGCGGCCTCTCTAGACCCACATTTCCAGGCTGCTTTCTTTTATTAGTTTATTTTACCTGTCCATCCGTCCACCTGCCCACCTGTCCGTTAGTCTCCAGCCCTTTTAAAATATTTTTATTTTGAGATAAGCTCTTGCTAAGTTGCTAGGTTGCTCAGGCTGGGCTCATATTTGTGATTCTCTTGCTTCTGCTTTTAAAGGTGTCATCCTCCCTAGAAGGCTCAGAAGCAGTGAGGTAGAAGAGATGAGTTACCTGGGAAGGAAGATCAGGGCGCCCACCCTCCATCCGCTCCTACTTCCCTGGGTTTGTGATGCTACAGCAATCTGTCTTCTGAGAGTCAGGATGTTGGAAATGCTAGAGGCTATGCGGTGTTGTTTTTTAGGATAAGATTTATTAATACAGATCTTCTGTTAACAATTCATATCTTGATTATATGGCAAAAACCTAGCAAAGGACCAACCTGTAGTATATGAAACTATAAAGGAAAGGGTTTTCCTGGGCCTGTTAGGGATTCCTCTAAGGCTACAAGTTTTGTAGAACTGAAATAGCCACTTAACACATATAAAAGTTTATTTCTGTCTCATGTGAAAGAAACTCAAACAAGAATCTTGGCTCCTGAATGCTAGCAATGTGTCTCTGGCTCTTTCCATTTTTCCACTTCCACCACCTTCTGCTCAGGGATTTTCATCTTCATGGTCACCTCAAAGTTTCAAGATTTCTATATGACTGTTACAGCCCCAATCTACACCCCAGGCACAAAACTGAAGGGAAGTGTTTTTTTGTCCTTGACTACCCTAGCTGCAAGGGAGTCTGGCACATACACTCATTTGGCTGTGTACATGGATTTTCAGAATAAAATCAGGCTTCCATGGAAAGGGAGTGTCAGCTCACAGCTGTTCCCATAGTTCTACCATCTTCCTGAACACATAATGTGGTGCCCAGTGAGGGTGGACCAGGCCTGCGTTGGCTGTGCCCAGTCAGGTCACAGTTGGCAAGTTGGCCTTGAGCCACCCAGGAGAACTGTAGGTCTTTGTAGCCATCTTGCTTCTGGACAAGAAGAATAAGCATGCTGGAGGGCCTCGCCCTATATGCCAGGGTACTCTTCAGTGGGGACAATGGTAGAAGGCAGAGGACTGAGATAACACCATGTGGGGAGCTGGGCATGTTGGCATAGGCCTGTAATCCCAGCACTCAGGGAAGCTGAGACAAGATGATTGCAAGTTCAAGCCTGGGCTGGGTAACTTAGTGACTTAGAAAGACCTAAAAAGGGCTGGGGATGTAGTTCAGTGCAAAAGCCCTGGTTTGATCCCCAGTACTGAGAACACCATATGGACAGTGTTTAGGGGCAGCTGGCCTCAGGGCTGGGGCTGCATCTGGGGTCTTGCCCAGTGCAGGGACAGCCTTCTCCAGAGTGTCCATACAACTTCTCCTCAGGTCAGGATGCATCAGACAGTGCAGATCTAAGCACTGCTCAGGCTGAGCCTGAGGGCCCCAATGCTGGCTTCCCTGTCCTCACCCTGCATGAGGGAGCATGGGACATAGAAGCACCCATAGAATGGGTGCCCCTTCTATGCCTTGGCTCAGGGGTGGGCATCGTAGACAGCTGACAAGAGCTAAACCTCTACAAATGATGAAATTGCAAACAGTGAAATGGAGAATAAAGATGCTGAGACATTTAATATGAGAGGAAAACTAGCACAGTGTATGTCCCCTTCCCACAGGCCTGTCCTGTCTGGGATGAGCTAGCTGTACAACCCTAGGGCTGGCAGGTGGATACCCTGGCTGTCAGGGCCCTACCATGTTAGTGGTACAACAGTCCCTCAACTTACATTCAACTGCTGCTGTGGATTGTAAGGCGCCACAGGCTGTGGGCTTTGAACTCCGTGGCCTCTGCTTGCCATCTCTGCACACTGGGCCGGGCAGCTGCTGGCCCTGCTCCTGCCAGGAGTCAGGGGCCTGGTGGCATCCTCCCTGGATCCCTGGAGGGAGGGCTCTGTCACAGTGGCACAGAGTCCAGGCTGTATGGCTTGGTGGCGTCACTGCTCAGACCCAGGGTTCACAGCTGGTCCTCGTCCACCCAGATGGTCTTGCGCTGCTCCTCACCGATCCTGTCTTTGAGGACACGCAGCAGCTCCTCCACGCTGCTCCAGGCCTCTGCCTCCACCGTGGCATACAGGCAGGGCAGCGCCTCCAGCTCCTTCTCGCGCAGGCGGCAGGCGCGCAGGAACTCCTCCTCGGTTTCGGGCCGTGGCAGCAGCTTCCTGGCAGCAACACAGGTGGGCCGTGGGCAGAAGGCAGGGCCAGACCCCCACGGTGGGGGGACACAAGCCAGCCCCACCTCCGCACGATTGTATGTCCAACCCAGAAGAGTCATGGACTCAATCCTGCCTGGGGTCGCTGTGGTGCCAAGTCTTTCCTGGGCCACCAGGCACCCCACAGAGGGCTGCTGTATGCTGCTGGCCTTGTCCCCTGGTGCCCACTGCCTTCTAACACCCTGCACACTGTGCCTTTTGGGGAGGCTAATACTGAGAACTGAACCCAGAGCCTTTGCACTGAACTACACCACTAGCCTTTTTTTGTCTTTTATTTGGAGACAGGGTCTTACTAATCTGCTCGTGTCCCCAGACTGGGCTTGACTTTGCAATCCTCCTGCCTTAGCCTCCCAGAGGCTGGCATCACAGGTGTGCATCACCACACCCAGCCACACCACCCAGCCTGTGTGGTGCTCAATGTGGTGGTCCTGAGAGGAGGGGATGCTTAAAAACTTACTTTCAATTGTGATAAAACCATTAAAAAATTTTTTTTGAGTGTAACTCAGGACTGTGAAGCACACTCACTGATGTACCTTTCTTGTCTTTCCAAAGGGAAGCTCAGCACCTAGAGAACACTGACCCCTCTCCCCTGCCCAGCCAACTCCCCCATCCTGCCTCTGTCCTGGGACCTCACAGATGAGGGAATACATGGTGTCTGTCCTGCGTCCACGCACTCAACGTAACAGCCTGGAAGGGCATCCATACTGCAGTGTGCGTCACAGGGCCCTTCTTTTGTAGGACTGGATGAAGGCCACTGCGTATAGAGAGCACACCTGAGGGACCCTTGGGTGGCTTCCACTTTTTGCTCACGTGAACAATGCTGCTGTGAACACAGGCATGCAAATATCCCTTAGACCGGCTTTCAGTCATTTTCTATAAAGACAGAGGGGAACTGCTAATCAAACAGGAATTAGGCTTTTCATTTTCTGAGGGCTTCTGGCCTATTCTAAGTGGCTGCAGCTGTTTTTGGATTTGTTCAGTTTTGAGACAGGGTCTCACTATGTAGTCCAGACAGGCATCGAACTCACTATGTAGTCCAGGCTGGACTGGAATTGATAGCCTCTTGCCTCAGCCTCCCCAGGGGTGGGAATGCAGGCATGCGCCTGGCTGCCTGTGCACCATTTCACACCACTTTGCATTCTACCCACAGTGCATAGGGTCCCAACACCTCCACATCCTTGCCAGCACTTGCTAGGGGCTCTGGTCCTCTGTGCCCACCAATGGATCCCCAGAGCCTGGCACTATCAGAGACTGCACAGACATTGTGAAGGAGAACGTGGCTCTGACTTGGAGTCTCAGTGCCCATCTGCACAGTGGCTCGGGCTAGCTACTCTACAGTTGCATGAGGAGGAGGGGACCCAATGTGATGTTCCAGGACAAATGTGTTTCAAACCTCTGGGCCATCCTTTCTTCCCAGCCCCACAGCCCACCATGTAACAACTCCTCCGGCTGATCTAGAGTCAGAGTTTGCCAGCCCCCACCCATCAGGGTCTTTTTCTCACTGTCATCCTTGTCTGAGTGACCCTGTCATGCTCTTCCTCGTGCACTGAGTCAGACTCCACGGGGCATGGCCTCCCCAGAGAGTAGCTGTGCTCCGCTCCTACTTCCTGTGGCCCGGCACTGGCTTCCTTGGGGTAGGGTCTGCATGGCTCATCCTCCTGCCATCACCCCAGCCTTCCGAGTGCCTGGCCCTCTGCGACATGTCCTGTGTAAGCCACATCAGGACCTTGAGATCTGCCCTGGCCTTGGGCGCCCTCCTGGTGAGGACTACTGAGGGATGAGCGGAGGCCTGGAGAGCTTGGGGTCAGGGTTAGGGTGGCAGGAGTGTGGACTCCCCATTCCTACCTGAAGCGCTTGATGTTCTTCTCGCACACACGCACGAAGAGCACGATGGGGTAGATCCCGCACTTGATGAGGTCGCGCACACAGCCGATCCCAGCCTCCAGCAGGCAGTGCTTATTCTGCGGGGCACAGGTCAGCGAGGTCAGCGCTCCCCACTGGGTGGGAGCCAGGTCTGGGCCTGCATGCAGGGAGGTAGTCCAGGGACAAGAGCCCCGAGCTACCCACCGGGCCAGGACAGGAGCAGAGCCTACAGAACCAATGCTTGCCACGGCCTGCGATGCACAGTGCACAGAGACGGGGCCAGGAACGGACTGCTGGGAATGCCTGCCCACCCACCAGCCTCCAAGGGCACACTTGGTGCCGGGTGTGAGCGCTGAGAATGCTGGGAGGGCAAGCTGGCAGCTAGGAGGTCCTGGAGACCCTACAGGGGTTTCAACCACGAGCTCCTTATTTCTGAGAAAGGACAATCCACAGGAGGCATCACTTTAAAAGAAACTAAGGTGGGCATGGTGGCGCACACCTGTGATCCCAGCATGCTGGGAGGCTGAGGCAGGAGAATCACACGGTCAAGCCCAGTTTGGGCAACTTAGTGAGATGCTTTCTCAAAATAAACCAAAAAAAAAAAAAAAAATGGGGTAAGATGTAGTTCAGTGTTAAGATCTTGAAGACCCTGGGAGATTCCATATAGGAAAAAAAAAAGAGGAAGAAAACCCCCCCCAAACTTGGCATCTTGAACATGGACACAGTGTCCTAGCAGGCAGCTCTGTGACTCTCACCGGAGCACACTAGGATGAGTACCTGTCAGGAGCTGCACGACTGAGACCCTCAGGCTTTTCTTTGTCTGCTGCCCCTCATCCCCCAGCTTGTAGACCCCTGGGCTTTCCCGCTGAACCAACTTGGCCCCAACCTGCCCACTCATTTCTCTGCTCTGCCTGTCAGAGCTTCTTAAACTGTTCTGGTCTAGACTTAAAAAAAATCAGCAAACTACTCATGGTCAAGGCTGGGCCTCTGCTTTTATCTACGTCTGCGTCAGTGTCCCTGAAGGGGGGTGCAGGCACCACTGTAGCTGGAAGGAAGTGTGGGGTCCTTACTGGGCACCTACTCCTGTCCCCCTTTTGCTTCAGGGCAATCCCATCCCCCACAGCCACAGGCTGAGAGCTTTTCCTCCTTCAAGCACTAGAAGGAGGAAGAACTCAGTGCCTGGGTGATCAGGGTCACAATGTCGGCTCTGAATGGCTTCTAGGTGCCCCTCCTCTGCACAGCCACCAGCTATTTTCCCTGGTGCTATTTTCCCCTTGGGTGGGTGTTGCCCCATCACATGCTTCTTGGCTGTCTCTCCCCTGACATGCTCGTTCTCTATCTCAGCCCTTGTTATCACAACTGGAGGCGCCCAGCACCAGGGCGACATCAACAATAGCAGGCTGTTCCAAGAACAAGGGAGAAGACAGAGACAGGGATGGTGGAAGGCTTCAGCAAAGGGGTTGGGGGTAGCTCTTTACCCGCCCATGCCCCAGACCAGGGTTCTCTGGTAGGTCACTGGCCACATCACAGGCTTGCCCAGCCCCTCACCTTGTTCGCCACAGCTTCAATGTTGGCAGGAACAATGCACTCAAAAGTATTAGGGTTTTTCTCCCGGGAGTAGATGATGGTTTCTGTCTTCTGCTTTTTGAGGAACTCTTCTCTTGTGACAATATCTGCAGAGAGAGGCTAGTCTCCAGGGTGGCACAGGTAGTCTTGGGTGCTGGATCCCCTCCTGGTCCCGCCCGTCTCCCCTCCTGGGTGCCACAGAACTGGATGTCTGGTCCCATCACAGTTAGCATTATCTTGTCCCTTCTACTAGACCATGAAGCTCCTTGAGGGCAGGGCAAGGTCACACTTCACATTCCCTGTGGCAGGCCAGAGAGGTGTTTAGGCAGTGCTCAGGGTCTGCTGCTCCACAGTGTCATACTAGTAGCTCAGGCACCATGGGGCATACTCCCCACTAGCTGCCAAGCATAAAGAAGCTCAGGCATTGATCTGTCCACTCACGCTCTACTCATGCATGCATCCATCCATCCACTCACCCACCCATCTACCACCCACCCATTCACCTTCCCACTTAGCACTGCTAAGGGTCGGGTACAGGGAATAAACATGACGAAAACACAGCAAACATATTTAAAGAAGCAATGATCTAGCTAAGAGAAAAATGTAGGCTACTGACAATGGGACACAGTTTAGTGAGTGCAGCGGTAGCTGTCATGTGTGGGAGAAGGTGCTAGCAGGCTGCCTGGAAGAAGAGGTGCCTATCAGAGGTCTTGTCCCCTTGCTGGGTGACCCTGCACACATTTAACCTCTCTGTGCCTCAGGGGAAGGAGGGCTGAGTATATCCAAGTCTCGAACCAGGTGGAGTTGCTGGCCATGGTGATCATTCAGGGTGTGCAGTTTCAGTCTGGCTGGCTGGTGGCCTACTTGGATGTAGTTAGGACAGTAAAGCCTGTGCTGTATTCATTTACCGTGATTTGAAAAGCCCCTGGTCATATGTTTAATGGGTCCCAGGTGGGCCTGGACATCTGTACTTTAAAAAAATTTTAGTTAGTTATTTTTTGTGCTACTGGGAATTGAACCCATGGCTTTTATGTTGAAGTACATCCCGGGCCCTTTTTAATTTAATAAATTGGTTAATTAATTGATAAATTTTGGCTTTTTGAGGCAGGATCTCACTATGTAGTTCAGGCTGGCCTTGAACTCATGCCAATCATCTTGTCTTAGCCTCCCAAGTGCTGCGATGACAGGCAGCCACCCCCATGCCCGGCTTATTTTTTATTTTGAGACAAGGTCTTGCTAAGTTACTAAATTGCCCAGGCTGGGCTTGAACTTGCAATCTTTGTGTCTCAGGACCCTAGAATACTGGGATTAATGGCATGTGCCACCATGTCTGGTCATATATGTACATTTAAATACAGCTGGGGACTCTGATGGCAGCTAGGGTGGGAGTTTTGGCAGGGTTGGGCGTCACCAAGGCTCAGAGGGATGGGGAGGCCTGCTGCGGGGGCCTTGAGGGGGACTAGGCTCCTGGATGATGTTACCTCTACTCTGTCACCCTCAGTGTTAGATGGGGAAGATGCGGCCAGGATTCCTTGCTCCCGGGCTGTTGCAAATGCACAGGGGCCGCTGTTGTGCATCCGGTGCTCCCACCTCCCAGGCCATGCAGGGCGAGGCAGTGAGGTGGAGCAGAGGGAGGCAAGGTGGGGTGGGAGAGTGGGCTATGCGCACCTGACTTGCAGAGGGTGAACTCCATGGCACCCCCTGAGTTTAGCAACTTCTGCACCAGCGTCTTGGCCAGTACGGTGGGCGTGAAGAGCACTGGCCGGCGGCGCTCGCAGTGGAAGGCGCGTACCAGGCTGTAGGGGATGAGGCTGAGGTTCTTGCTGAGCTCGCTCTCAGGGTCCAGCTCTGGGGGGAGGAGCGCGGCTGTCAGGGCCTGGGCCTACAGAGCCCGGGTACCCTCAGGGAAGGACTGAGGCTGGGGCTGCTGGGTTTTTTTTTTTTTTTTTGCTACCAGGAATGAACCCTGGACCTTGATACTGAGCTACATTTCTGCTCCTTTTAATTTATTTTGAGATGGGGTCTCACTAACTTGCTCAGGTTGGGCTCGACCTTCTGATCTTCCTGCCTCAGCCTCTCAGAGTGCTGAGATCACAGATATGAGACTGCACGCCCAGCTCTGGGGCTGGTTCTTGGAGGCCATTTCCTGAGATAAAAAGATGTTCTGCTGGCCATTGCAGGCCTGGGAAACCTGGGGTTCTGCTCCTGGCACCCAGGGATATTCTGGGGGTCCTGCATCCCCATGTGGGAGGCAGACAGATGGTAGATGACATAAAGAAGCCTTGGTGGTTTCAAATGTGGCAGGTCTCAGGGAGAGGTCATCAGGGCAGGGTGTTCAGGCAGAGGGAGGGTGACCACAGGAGAGCAAGGGACAGTGACATAACTGGGCGGTAGGGCAGCAAGGCTACCTGGCACAGCCTGGTGATTTCGAGGCTCTAGGAAGCTTCGGGGCCCGAGGCAGGGTGACCACATGGTCACTTCTGCCTTTTCCAGGCCTCTGTGGGCATGTGTGGGGAGCAGAGAGAAGCCCCTGGGTGGGATCAGTTAAAGTCAGCCTGGTAGCCCCAGGTCACTTCCCAGATACCAGCCTTGGTCTCTTCTGTGTCCCCTGGCCTGGGGCTTTGGCTTCCTTGCCTCTGAGCGAGGCTGGCCTGGCCGGGTAATGTAGGTGGAGCTGGCTTACCATCAAGTGAGGTCACCAGCTGGAGAAGTGGCAAAAAGTGGTCTTTCTTTCTTATAGGAAGAAAGACTAATATATAAACACTTCTCAGCCCTGGCTCCAAGTAATGGGGCTGTCTGGCCTGCACGTGACCATGACATGCATGGGTCAGTCATGAGGGGCAGGCTTCAGTCTCTGTGGGGAAGGATGGCCTCTTAGTGAGGGTACCTGGAGCATGCCTTTGTGGGGAGGAGCTGGGGTAGGGAGGTCACCACCCACCTTCCTGCTTCTCAGCTGAGAGCTTGGTGGCATCCAAAGAGGTGCGGGCCAGGCTGCCCAGGGGGCTCCCAGAGATGACGCGGACCCGCTCACTGCTGTTCATTCGCTTGTACTTGTTCTCGGACCGACTGACGAACTGTTGTGACAAAACAGGGAGCGGGTGGGAGGCTGAAATCCCTGCTCTTGCTTCCAGCCTCAAGGAGCTGCTTAGGTCAGACAGTCAGACCTTGTTTCAGTTCAACCTCTGCCTGAGGTCAGGCTAGTCCCCTCCCTGTATGAACAGGGGACACCACAGTACAGTGGTGTGGGTCTATTAGTCCAGCACTCTGGGAGGCTGAAGCAAGAGGATCACAGATCTGAGCTCAGCCTGGGCAACTTAGTGACTTAGCAAGAACCTGTCTCAAAATGAAAAATAAAAAGGGGTGGGGGTGTAGCTGAGTGCAAAGGCCCTGGATTCAACCCTCAGTGACAGCCAGAGGAGGCTGGAGTCCTTTAGCTCTTGGACAGTGGTTGTCAATAGTGAGAAGGTGGAGAGAATGAGGTACTGGTCCTCACCCAGTTCCCTATCAACCGCCCTCCTTCCCTTGAGGCCTCTGTGTGAGATCTGCAGTGACTGGACTGGGATGCTCTGGCTGGAACCCCTCTCCACTGGCCATGTGGGATGCCCTTGACACCCCAGCACCATGCTCCCCACAAACTCCAGTCCTCTGGGGAGCACTACTGCCATCAGCAGGGCTGGCAGTGGGCACAGATCCAGCTTCTTGCCTTGCTTCCAGGGTTCCTCTGCCCCTCCCGCTTCACTCACAAAGAGATTGGTCCTGGGGCTGGGTGTGCACGTTAGGATGAGACCTGAAGGCTGCAGCTTTTGTGTGACTGGTGAGCACCACAGTATGCCATCTTGGATGGCCTGCCTCTGGGAAGACCTCTGGCCTGGCCAGGCTCCCGCCTACCTGGCTGTCTCTGCCACATGCCTGTGGTCCTGGGGTCACACTGATAACCCTTTCTGAGTCACCTCTATCCCAGCATCAGGTGCAGCCTCGGGGTGTCACACTCTCCATGGGGGCCTACTTGGTGCAGCACCCACTTAGGAACATGCTCATGGGGATTATCCCCTTTGCTTGTCTTCTAGGATATAAGAAATGCCTCTACTTTTATATGAAATACCTTCTGAAGATATCATACAATATGCTGGTTAATGTTCCTTATATAAATCTATATAAAAGTTTTCTTTTAAGGTTAAGTACAAGGGAAAAATCTTTTCTGGTCTCCAAGAGCCAAAATGTTCCCTTAGATTAAGATTAAGATTAAAGTACCTGCTTAGTTTCCCTTTTCTCCTTGGCTGCTAGGATACTGAGATAAACTTCAAGCTCTGTCTGAGGAACTAAACTGGCCTAGATATTTGGAATGTTTGTTTTCTCCTCCCAACATGACATTTCTGATTTTTCTATTAATATTTTAACAGCCAACTTGTTTGAGTTCCTTTTGGGCATACGTTTTCTCAAATCTTTTTTGAATGTGGGATTTGCTTGTGACAGGAGCACAGACCGTCTCTCGAGCTGTCACTGGGAAACGGTGGAGAGCTGCAAGTGGGGCGTGCGACACAGCACTGCTATTTTGGCACAGGCTCCTCTTGCTGGCAGGCAGAGGGCAAAGCCACGCATGCTGTGATGGGAAAGAAGGATGCTGTGGAGCACGTTACCTGCAGGAGCTGGCCAAAGAGGAAACTCGCTCTGGAGAGGCGGGGGCTGACCCGGGGGTCGTTCGTTGAAAGTGGCTCTTCTGGCTGCAGGGTGTTCTGGAATGAGTTTATCAGGGAGTCAGAAGGAGCTGGCCTGGCTGGATCCATGGGCACGAGAATGCCGCACAGAGGCGCAGGACGCTCCCAGGCCCTGTGCTGAGTTCTAGGAAACCTGCTCCAGCAAAGAATGGGGACGGCCCAGAGCTACACAGCTGCAGCCCGCTCTTTCCCTCTCCGGGGGAGCCCAGGGAGGGTCAGAAGGACTGGCCCCTTCTGCACTGGCTGTCTCTGCTCCATGTTTCCACAGAAAGGTGGCGATTCGCTGGTAGGGCTTTGCTGCAGTGTCAGACTCACCCGGTGCGCCCGCAGAGTGTGGTGTGCCGTGTCCACCTCCTCTCGGCTGCCGCGGTGCATTAGGCGCTGCAGCTTGACCAGCAGCAGTTGCTGGGCCCTGGGGAGCAAGAGGGAGGCATTCAGGTCGGGGCAGAGCCGGGGGCCGGGAGTGCTCAGCCTGAGGGGGCTGGGACAGCCTGGGCTTGTGCCTCTGGGAGGCCCTGGCTTTGGACAGGGTTGGGGTCAAGGCTCCTGTCCCTGAGCTGGAGTTCCTCTGCGGGGAATCGGGGTTGCTGATGCCACCTCTCAGGGATGGCCCCACAGCTGCCATTGTCTGGAAGCACAGCTAAGGTCTCAGAGAGCCTCTGCACCCTCAGAAGGCAGGAAGGCTTCCTGGAAGGGGGGAACCGGGACCTCACAGCCCAGTAGGCGGAGGTGTGTGCTCCGGGGCCCGCGCTCCTCCCCTTGGCCCCTGTTGATGCTCGCAGCACCACCAGTCCCTGACTTGATGGTGCCTGTGACACAGAGCCCCATTGGCCCTGGCCTCACCGGCTGTAGCTGGGTATAGTGCCCGTGTCCAGGTCGTGGTCAGTGAAAGGGTCCACCCGTGCACATAGCCACTCGTGCCTGTCCTGGTACATGGTATCACGGACGTGCACAATGTCATCACACTTCAGGGACATGGAGCAGGCATCCAGCTGGCTGGAGATGTTCAGGTTCAGGCGGATGTAGAAGGAGTCTCCTGAAGAGATGAGGCCCTCCTCCATGTCCCTCAGCAGCTTCTGGTACCCTGGGCAGGGGACAGTCCCAACAGTGCATTTTGGTGGGCCACCGGCCTTAGCTGAGAGTCTTTCATGGTCCCTTCCTCATAGAGCTGGGTGTTAGGGACAGGTATTCCTGCCTGGTGAGTGACATTCGTGCACTTCCCCTTTTTGTTTTGGCTGCCAGGAAGCTCAGAGCTAAACGTATAAAGCTGCAGCGGTCACCTTCACTAGCACTTCTGCCATAATCTCCGCACCTGCCCCAACACTGGAGATAGACATGTGTTTTTCACTTCTATTTTTCTATTGGTGCATAACTTATATAATAGTGAACTGCCCAAATTCTTAAATTCACTGAATTTCCCCAAACACACATATGTGGGTTGTTCCCTCCCAGAATCTGCCCTGTCAACACTCTTCATTCTGATGGATATTCCCCCAAGAGAAGCTGCAGCTCACTACACATAAAAGGAATCAACCCGTACAGGCTCTCTCCCTCTGGTACCTATTACTCCATGCTATGCCTGTGAGACACATCTACGAGGCTGCCAGATAGCAGTACTCCGTTCTTTTTCAGCGCTGTATAGTGCTCCACATGTGCACACATCCATTCTCTTGTGTATGCACTTGCACTCTGCAGTACGGGATTATTATGAGAAACTGCTGAGTTATTCTTCTACACTATTTCTGTGGACATACATACACATTTCTCTCGGCTATAGACACAAAAGTAGAATTACCTGGTCATGGATTATCTATATATTTAGATGTGGTAGATACTGCCAAGTGGCTTTCTAAATTAGTAAGACCTAGCACACGTCGTTTTAACTTTACTTAAATGCCGCTTTCCTTTTGAGTAGATTCTTGTGAATACTCTGAAAGGAAGCAGGGCCTAGCCTCTGATTATTGCAAGCTCTAAGTGAACCCTCATGATATAAATCCCTAAGTCAGCCCTACACGCAGAGGTCTGCACAATGCAGAGGAAGCTGAAGCAGTTCTGTCAGGCCCCAAGCAGCCCCCCAAATGTGCACAATATACAAATATGTAGGGGCATTTCAGCCCACTGGGTCAGTGTTCCATGGGGTCATGTGGTGAAACGGGGTTCCCAGTGGGTACCCCTGGGCAGCCTGGCTGTGCCCAGCACAGGGAAGAATCCCTACAACCCTCCTGTCAGACCCACACCGCCCTGTCCTCAGGCTCTCTGCACCTAGAAGAGCTAACTTTCCCTGGAATTCCAGACCGCAGGGCTCCACTGCCGCACAACTCTGGAGGGCGCTGTGCACACCGCCTTCCATGGCCTGCCGGCCAGTGCTCAGGGCACCACCCAGAGATTTTGGGGGCAAGGCTAAAAAGCCAGGCTGCAGGAGTAGGGGGCGGCCAGCCCCCGTGTGGGGGTGACTCGGCTCTGTCTGGGCCCAGCATCATTATCATCTGCTCGGCAGGACACTGCTGGGAAGGGGTGTGAGTGGATAGAGAGGCTATTTGTGCTCTGCTGAAACATTCATGAGCCCCGCGGTTAAAAATAAGACCCAGCTGCAGAGATAATCATGCAGGAAAATCCAGAGGTGAGAATGAGGACTCAGGCTTATGGGAAAGCGGAAAACAAAGCCGTGTGTGCACTGCCTGGGCGTTGTGGCAGCCGGGAAAGAGGAGCCAACCGTAAAACTTCCGAGAGATTGACAAAAAGGGAGGGTGAGGCCCTGCCTGTCCTGGGCTGGGGGCCATGGAGAACAATGCGGGGCTGAGATGCGGCTCAATGACACTGCTAGAACCAGCTGCTACCTACAGTAGCCCAGAAGCCCAAGAGCACGCATGCTCCACCCCAGCAGGATAAAGGGTGGGCTGGCCAGGCTACTGCATCTACCATGCCCAGTGGGTACCCCAAGGCATCCTGGGCAGCTGGGCATGGACATGGCTGGTTTGAGATAAGATAAGCTGCTCCCCAGAGCACAGCTTCAGGCAGGCATCTGCCTGCTCCCCAGACCTGCTCTCTTGGTCCCTGACAGCCCCTGGAGGAGGAAGTAGGGGCACTGGTTGATGAGGTCCCCTGTCCCTAGTCTATACCATCTCCAGTGTGAAGCGGTCCTCCCAGGCTCACCTTCGTGGTTAACTTTGTAGTGCAAGGTGACAGGGCCACTGCACCTCTGGATGGTCCAGCGGGCCTCTTCCTTCGTGCATGTGTCCAAGGGGACACTCTGCCTCTCGCCTCGGATACAGCCTTCCAGCTGGACAGCAAAAGAAACACACGGGTTTTTCCCACTGGCCGGCTGCTCTACCCAGGAAACAGGGGCACCCCTTTCCCCATGGGGAAGAGAAGGGCCCTGAGGTACTGATGCCCGGCCACCTGCCCTCTAGCCCCTCCTCTTGGTGTGCTTTGAGGCCTGGGGTCCCCTCCACCAGTGGAGGCACGCAGAGCACACAGCACCCTGGCACCTGGCCCTCACCAGCAGCAGCTGGTGGCCCTGATGGAGTCCCGCCTTCTCAGCCAGTGAGCCCTGCTTGACCGCATGGACGAAGCTCCCGCGGGCATTGCCTCCCAGGAGCGTGAGCTGGGTAACCAGGCCGTCGCCGCTGAGTGTCGCATGTTGCACCAATGGCCCCGGGCCCCGAACCTGCCCCACAGAGGTGACCGAGGGCCGGAAGGGCCTGGATGGAGAAACAAAATAGTGGTCAGGCAGCACAGGGTGGTTGGGGTTTGGGTGGCTGGATATGCTGAGTGCTGAGAGGTTGCTCCAGGAATACAGCTGCTCAAATGCATTAGGTGCTGGGGCCTCCGGGCTCCAAGTAAGTCACTGTCATAGCCACCTGATCAGTCACTTTGTGGGACAGCCTACTCCTGCAGGAAATAGGACTGGAGCTGAACTACTCTCCTGGCCTATAGAGGCCCCAGAAGACATCCTCTAGGACCTGAGCTGGCCACTGCTCTGTCCCATCCTTGCCAGGCCAGGGGCCGCTGTGCAACCTCTGCCCACTGGGCCTGTCTGGCACGAGTCCTGTTTCTTGACCTCTGCCACACTGGTGACCCTGGGCCAGCCCTGCCTCTGTAGCTTCACTTTCTTTCTTGGGCAATCAGAACGTCAGATAAGGGGCAGTCAGGGGGTCACTATGTTTCTAAGACTGACTCTCAGAGGTCACAGGTGACGTAGATGGCCTCTTCTGTGGGCGACTGAGGGGTGACAGGCTGAACCCTCTTGTACCTTTCTAGAGAGAACTTCCGAAACATGAGGTTGACCTGCTCCAGGTCATAGGTGTCCAGGCTCTCAGACTGGTGGGAGGAGGAGGAAGAGTGGATGGAGGGAGGGCCGAAGGAGTAGCGGTCGTGACTGTCATCTGCAGAGGAGTGTGGCGCATCAGGACCTAGGAGAAGCCAGGGGGCACCGAGGGCTGCCCGGAGACCCCCTTGGATGGCTTTGAGCCCTGAAGTGCTGGCATCTCCCCGTGGCCCAGGGGACAACCCATGATGCCCCCCAAGCCTCAATAAGGACATCTACCTGCCTGCAGGAGGCCTCTCTGATTAGGAACCTCACCATAGTCTGGTTTTTAAGAATCCTCTATATTTTACACAGGGAGCTTCCCATTAGCAGCTGCTGACTCTGCCTTTGAACTGGGCCCCCCCGAGGGCCTCAACCACCCACTGCCCTCTGGCAGAGACCATGAGCCTAGGGCCCCTTCCTGTCCCCACCTCACCAGACATGGAGTGGGGAGATGCCCCCTCCACAAAGCACTGGCCACTGGGGGGAGGGATGTGTGAGTCCTGCCCGGGCCTGATAACAAAGGCTCTCTGCAAAGGGAATTTTTCCCGACACAGCAAAATACTTTGGATGGCTGCCCAGGATCTTCTTCCCAGTTTCCCCCTTCCAAAACTCTTTCAATTCTTCTCATTACCCAGCCTCGATTAGGTGCTAACCTCTCTTTAACACTTGATAGCTTCTGATGGCCCCCAATTAAGGAGGACCACTAATCTTTCCTTTGCTCTGTGGGCAGCTTGGTGGGCCGGGGGGCGGAGGCAGGGCAGGGGAGGCCTGAAATGGAGGGGCTGGCAGGGGCACACCCGCAGGATTCTGAGTCAGCCTCCACGCTGCCAGCTATGCAGTGGCCTGGGTCACTGCTGTTCTCTGTAGGGGCAGAGCCATCTCCATGTTTCCTATTGTTGTTGTCTTTCGGGCTTGTCGGGAGGCTCCTCAGGTTTGGGAATCTGCATCTGGCTGCCCTACTGCTTCACAGCTGTGACACCGTTGTATCTACACAAGCAAGGACTGGAGACTGGGAGTCCGGGACCCAGGCACCTAGCACAGGCCTATGAAGCCTGCTGGGCTGAACCTGACTTCCCGGCTGGGAGGGGAGGGTGCCCAGGGCCATGCGTGCATCCTCTGGCCCTGGAGAACATAGGTTCTCACTTCTGGCTTCTGCACTGCCTGGTGGGCACAAAGGGAATACCTGCCTTCCCAGTATCTCCCCAGTGCAGAGCTGCCATGGGCCATTACAGTACTGAGCCACAGCCTCAGTCCCTGCATCTGCCTCCACCACCTCCAGTTCCAGGGGAAGGGGATCTTCCTGGGTCTATGCTGCCTCAGTTCTGGCCCCCACGTTTACTGCCTGTCTTGTGCTGGCTGGCTGGCTGCAGAACATGCTCACTGCTTATGGAATATCTGGGTCAATCTGTCCCCTCTCTCTACCCTTTCCTGTCCCTGGAACCCCATTTCTTCATATCCGGAGGTGCAGGCAGCATCTCTGGATGTGGATGTAGAGATCATACAACCCGAGGCCAAGCTTACAGGCCGAGCATCTCACAGTCCTGGGCTCCAACACATGAGAAATGCTCTTTTCAAAGCTCAGACCTCGTTTTGGTGATGTTCAGCAGCTGCACAGTCCTGGTGGGGGGGCTCACCTGAACTCACACTCCAGCCTCCTTGGAATGCACCCCACATGTGCCCCTTGGGCCCGCCATGCATGTACATGCTCTTTGCTCGGTGGCCTGCTGTCACCAAGGCACCCATTACCCCTCTCAGATCCGACAAGTACTTACCGTCCAGGTCCAAGGCATCAAACCCGCAGCTGTCATTGTCTTCTTCAACTGCACTGCAGGACACAAGTGGGGGAGAGGGTGCTCATGAGTGGCTGTGTGCAAAGTGAAGGGAGAGGACATTTCTGGAAGGTTCGGTGTGGAACGGCAGTATGGGGTGGAGTAGGCAGTGGGGGACAGACTATATTTCAAGGTTCTAGTGGCCTTGGTGCTTCACAGAGCCTCAACATCTTCCCAAGCTGTCTGGGGTGGGGGTTGGCCCTGGGGAGACATTGGTAGGCCTTGACTGGGTCTCTAGGACAGAGATGTGAACCCAGTCTCTTCCCAGGCCCTCGGCCCTTCCGGAAACTGTCATCACCAGCTGACTTTGAAAACAGCAGCCTAACTGGACGGACCCTCTTGCCAGCTGCACTCCTACTGTGGTTCTCCTGGCCAAGCATGGGTGGTAGTAGGAGCAGGGAGGAGCATCTGTGGGTCTCTCACTCTAGTAGAGAAATCCCAGCCCTGGTGCCATAGGGTCCAAGAACAGGGTTTCTGGGCAGCACAGGGCCAAGGGATACAGGTTTTGTCACTTGATAGCTGGGGGGGGGGGGTGACCCTGGGAAGGCCACTTCCCCTCTCTGAGCCTTGGTTGCTGCAGCTGTATAGGGGGCACTTGTGCTTCTTCCGCCTTCATGGTTGCTACAAGGACAGCTGAGCCGTAGCAGGAGGCAGGATGCGCAGGAGGCCGGGCTGCTTACCTGCGAGTCGGTGCATCTTCTTTGCAGCGTCTGACGATGGAGTCGTTCCCGGGGGGCTCTGCAGTGATTGACATGATGCTGCTCCGGCTCCGGCGGGGCTGCTGTGAACAGGCACACACGGATGCAATCCGGGACATGGATATTTATACGCCAATGCCTCCAAGGGCATAAATATTATATACGTGGAACTAAATTTAACTCGGATTCATTCCCGCTAACTCGGCTAGCGTGGGCACTGCAAGCTGGTCCTCAGCAGTGGTGACCTTGGCCAGAGGAGGCTTGTGCTCAGCCTGGGGCCCCCACAGAGTGTGGAACACATCTGCTCACACATCTGCTCCAGGGAGGACATGGGGGTAGGCTAGTGGCCTGCACTGGCTGAGCTCTGTGTTCCTGGCTGCACCTGCTCTAGATTCAATGAAGTATGAGGGTGGGCAACTGCTAGAGGAGGGGTGACCTGGGGAGCCAGGCTTGTGGCTCCTGGCAAGGGCTGTCTTAGATGGGAGCCTTGGATTTTGGTCCCGAGAACTGTCATCAGACAGGACTCATTCATTATAGAACCTCTGCCTCCCCCAGGGCCTGATTTGGGAAGCTGAGCTGACAAGCTTCCTGGAGCTTCCCTCGGGGTTAGAATTTCTAATCCTGCACCTTCTGCTGCTGACTGGGGCTGATGACACCAGGTCTGGAGGCTTGGATGCTGCCTGGCTCTGCCCAGGTGGGCTGGAGCTGAGGATTGGGGGACACTGGGTCAGGGGAGGGGCCTGAGCCCTTGTCCTGCCACCCTATCACCTCCAGATGCTGGTGGTCCCCTGCCCAGCTCACACCCCTGCCAGCTGCTGGAGCTGTGAAGGCTGAGAAGTTGTAGCAGAATTCTTGGCTGCCTGTGCAATTCACTACAGGCCCTCTGAGGCCCATCTCCTCCCCCCGCCAAGTGTTAAATTGGGAAAGGAGGCGGCAAGAAGGTGTAAATACATCCTGAGGCCTCTGAGATATCTTTAAATAAACACCAGGAAGGCCTGGGCTGGGCCTTTGGAAGGAGAGGGACACGGCTCATGGGCGTGGGCTTGTGGAGGGGAAGGAGGTGGGTCAGGGCCTGCAGGTCACAGCTGGGGCCTTGGGGCCAAGGCTCAGATGGTGTGGGGGCAGCAGGTAGCATACAGCGTGCATCTTACCATCTTGGAGAAGGAGCTGGTGATGGGAAGGGAGTGGGCAGAGCTGGGGCTGGCATCTGTGCTGTCATCTCCGTGGCCCTTGACTGTCCTCAGCCGGGGGCAGAGAAAAGAGAAGGTGCAGGGAGGTGGGAGGTAGAAATGGGAGAGGAGAGGAAAATGAAAATCAGAGCCACTGGTCAGTGACCCAAGTCTCTTGCCAGCACAGGCGGGTGCAAGGCCCCTTCTCCTTGTGAGGGGCCTGCCCTGTGCTGACGTCTGAGGAGGAAGGGACCCCTATAGCACCTCTGCATATTTCCCTGCCTGCTATGGCTACTAAGAGGCACTGTGCTGATTCCACAACACATCCCTGCCCTGGCCAGGATTGGGCCCCGGACACTCCAGCCAAGGCGAATGTCACTTGTCTCAGGACTTTTCGGTCTCCATGCAAGAGCCCCAGCTGGCACTTTCAACAGAATGATGCCCATGAGGAACAGGAAGTCTAGCATGGGGGGCCAGTTTGTCACCTCCTGAGTGCATCTTCCCTCCTTGTCTCCCACCCTTGTGTCACACCAGGCACTGCCTGGGCTGTGTGCCCACTCTCTGGCCTCATATGACAGCTGTACTTTCTACCCAGGAAGACCTCCCTAAGGCCCAGGTCCAGGCTCCTTACTTTCTTCAGACCCAAGGGGCCTTGCCTGGCCTCACTCCCTGGGCTCTATGCTCCAGGATGGAGCCTACTACTGACGCCTACTTTCTCTGTCCAGGCCAGTTTAACTGTCCCAGCCTTCCTCTGCCTCTCTTGCAGGTGGCCTGGACACTGTGAGCTCCTCACTACACCTCAGGGATATCTTGCAGAACCTTCCAGCACTTAGGTAGGAGATGCTTGATTCCTTTTGCAAATCCCCACTGGCTGAGCATCACTCTGATTTGTAGTGAGGATGAAGGAGAATTCTGAGGCAGCATGGTGTGGAGAACGAGGGCTGTGGATGGACCGGCAGCCTCAGACACTCGGGAAGGTGTCACACCTGGGCCAAGTTCCTGGGCCAGGAACAGGCTTGGTGGGAAGGGAGGAACTACACACAGATGCCTCAGTGATTAGGGCCCATCCAGCGATGATAGTCACTGGCACCTGATGGGCTCCCTGCCACCAGGAGCCCTAGACCTAGCCCGGTTGACCCCACAGGGTGATTGCTACATTGGGAGGAACAGATGGACTGAGAGAGGCAGAGTGACAGATGAGAGATTTGGGCATCTTGCTGACCTTGAAAATCAGATGCTCGCTTGAGGCTGATGGGGGATTTGGCTCTCTGCAGCTGAAAGAGAGGGAGGGGGAGAAACAAGACACAGGACACAAATCAAGGCCCAAACACATGTCACTGGAGCCAGGCAAAAGCCAAACACAGCAGGACAAGCTTATCCAGCCTCTGGTCCCCTGGCCATCTGGGCCATATGCTAAAGGTCTTCCTGAGGGTGGGACAGGATGTGAGGTCTTCCTGGACCTTGGTTAGGCAGCTGCTGGTAAGGCATCCTCCCTTCTGGGGACACCCAGCCATGTAGAGTGCAGAAGGACAGGGACACTCCAAAGCAGGAGCTGAGCCAAACAGGACACAGGGGACTTTAGGAAAGGAGGATCACCATCCTGGGCCCCAGTGCACTGAACCCTGTGAGGTCCCAACTTGGGCTGGCATGGGAGACACAGAGAAGTGGGCCTGAAGAGCAATCCCATTCATTCATTAATTCATTAATCCCATTCTTTGGTCCACCATTCATCATTCACTGAGAACCAGCCATATGCTGGGACTGCACTGGACACTGAGCGAGGGGACAGGATTGCTGCTGTGACAACAGCTTACAAATGGGGCCTGGCATGTGACAGGCACTCTAAACTTACTTGGGGGAACAAGCAGATAAATTTGCAAGTAATGGTCCTTTCAATCTTTCTCTTGCATTGGTGAAGGCCTTCACATTGAGTGAATCTTCAGCCCTTTTCATTTGTTTGTTTGGAGACAGGGTCTTACTAAGTGGTACAGGCTGGCCTTTCAAACTAGCAATTGCAATCCTCCTGCCTCAGCCTCCCAAAGCACTGGGATTATAGGTGTGTGTCCATACCTGACTTCTCTTTTAAAAACTTCTATTGTACTTGTAAGAGAAAGGGAGTCACTAAGACACTGTGCACCCGGGGATCCAGGGTGGACACAGCATGTAGGGCCAGGGATTGAACTTGGGTCATTGTGGTTGCTAGGTAGGTGCTTATGCCTCTGAGCTATCTCCCCAGCCCCAAGGGAGTCACTAAGAACCGATAAGCACGTTCAAGCCACAGTTGGCATGGTTCCTATTTCTCAGGCTAAATAGGTCAAGTCACATCTCAGTGCCTCAGACTGAGATAGCACTCATCATGGCTCGGGGGTCTCCCACCCTCAAGAATGCTGGGCAGGCCCTGCCTCCACACCTGGATGCCCTTCAGGTTCATCCTGCGCCTTGGTGGGTGGTAGGGTGGGAAGTACTTGCTGTCTTCTGGTGACTCCTCAGAGGTGGATGAGTCGTCGGCTTCCTGCCCGTTGGTCCTGGGGCTGGAATCCCCAAAGCTCTGTGAGATAATGGTAGCTGGCAGGTTCCTGGGAAGACTCTGGGGACAGACAGACACCAGTGCTGGAGACGAGTGATGAGCAGCCCACGGAGAGCTGGCCGATGTGAATCATGCCCTTTAGCACCTGAGCCTGAGACTCGGCTTCCTTCTGTTCTTCCTTCAGATGCCAGGGCCTACCATTGTTTCTTGGCCATGTCCTCTTCCCTCACTCCCCTGTCCCTATTTTTCTCCCACCAGGGTCTGTGCCAGGACCTCACCTTCCTATGGAGTAGCAAAGCAGCTGCCCCCTGGCCATCTTGGCCCCTTCCATCTGACATAGCCTGATTAAGATCCTAATGCCCACCCTCATGCCTGAGCAGCACGTAGAGAAAATTGTGTGAAGCTGAGTGTGGTGGCACATGCCTGTAGCCCCAGAAACTCTGGGAGGCTGAAGCAGGAGAATCATCAATGTGAGCCTAGTCCAAGCAATTTAGAAAGAGCCTATTTTAAATATGAGAAAAAAAAAAAAAAGGCAGGGGGAGTGGTGGGTATACAGCTGAGTGAAATCCTAGGGTTCAATACCTGGTGCTGCAAAGAAAGCACAATAATAATTCAAAAAACAGGGCCATGTATATCCTGAGTGTTTCCTAGCCATTACCTCTTTAATTCTAAGTACATATTGTTAATAGTCACTGTATAGAACATAGACTGAGGGCTGGCCAGATAGCTCAGCAGACAAAAGCATCTGCTTAGGCAGACACAGGGACCAGGGTTTGATCCCGGCTTGCCATGCTGGCCCTGCCTCCAGGGTGCACTGAGATGGGGAATGAGACTGGGCGTGGTGGTGCATGCTTGTTATCCCAGAGTTTGGGATGCTGAAGACATCCGAGTCTGATCTTGTAGTAAGACCCTGTACTAAATACATTTAAAAAAAAAATAGGCTGAATCACAGGGCATTAGGTAACCTTGGTGTGACTCACAAAGCGTTCTCCTGTACTTCTCTACACTAAGTCCTTCAAGGTTCCAGAAAAGCTGCAAAGACACTCAGCCACGTGGCACACCCTGACCCTTCCTGCTCCCTCCTCTTCTCCTTGGGGCCTCTGCTCTCACTCCTGGGGAAGTGGGGTGCTGGTCCTACCCCTCCTTGCTCAATCAGGTGCCATTAGGCTGCACACATGTATTCTGCAGATTCTCACCTGCACCGTCCCCCATGCCTGGCACTGGGCTGGGCACTGGGAACAGAAGGACCTGAGGAGAGCTCACACACAGTTATACACTGTGCTGATCACTGAAGGGAGAGGGTGAGAGCATGTCACTGCCACTCCAGTTTCCACTGTGCAGCCGGGTGACTGAGAAGGTGGCACTTTAGCAAGATCAGGTGAACAAACCTGGCCAGATGAAGTCAAGGCAAGGGCCCAAGGCCTCAGGGAGTACTTCCTGGAGCCGGGTGTAGAGGCCTCCCTGGGACCTGGGGCCCTTGAACTTGGAGTACAGAGCACTGTGATGAAAAGCCAGGTTCCTGTATTTGCCTGCTCTGTAAGATTCTTCTCTGAGGGGTGGTGGCTCTGATCAGGCTCCCCAGGGCGCAGTGCCTCAGCTGCCTGGGTCTGGGTCCTTTCTTTGTAAACCAGGATGGAAAGCACACTTTCCCACAGGACTGTGCTGCAGGTTAATGGGGCCAGCACAGCCCCTGCCAGGAGGGTGCCCAGGAGATGCCGGGAGACAGCGATCACGGTGTCATCGGAATCAAGGGCAGCACTCATTCACTTCTGGGGACCTGAGGTCACACACAAAGGCACTCTGCACTTCATGCTGTGCCTTAAGGGTGTCACTCATGGATATCAGCAACCCTAACCCAATGGTATCTTAAACGTGATGACTGTTCTCAATGGTGAGCGACCTGAGGAAGGGCCAATGGACAGCTGCAGACAATTGGGAGAGGCAAAGGTCCTGAAGGGGAGGTCACCAGGTCACTAACTAAGATGTGGATAACCCAGACTTTTACCTGCATCTTTTAACTCCAAGATGAGTGGTTTTACTCAGCACTATACAGACACACAGAGAACCAGAGGGACATGGAAGATTATGAGCGTAGTAAGGAAAGGTGCTTTGGGTTCAACTATAGCAACTGGCAGGAGATAGAGGCCCTGGCCAGACATCGCTGGTGGCAGGAGGGGCTCCTGGCTGCAGCCTACCTGGTCAAGGGTGCCGCTGTCCTTGGAGAGGCGCCGAAGCTTGCTCTCCAGGTTAACGATGCAGGCTTCTCGCCGCACCATCTCAATCCTCATCTCATCATTCTTCTCTTCCAGTTCCCGGATCTGCTTCCGGTACTTGTCCTTCTCAATCAGGCACTGTGAATACTGAGTCTGAGCTTCATCTCGGGAGTGGAAGGCCTACAGGGGCACCAGAGAAAGGTGTATTATGGTTGGGTATGGTATGAATCCCCAAATGGGGATTCACCCTGTAGAAGGCTTCATTGTCAGCTGATGGGGTTTTAGGAAGTACTTGGACCACAAGGGCCCTAATGTTATACATGGGTTAATCCACTGAGAGGATCATACTTTGATGGCATTACTGGGGGGAGGGGACAGAAATAGGAGATGGGGTCTAATGGAAGGTAGTGGATCACAGAGGCATGGCCTTGGGGATTCTGTCTGGCTCCTGGCCTCTTCTTCTCTGGCATTTCCAATTTCTCTCTACTTCCTGGTTGGCACGAGGCCTTCTACCATGATGTTGCTGCTTAGCCAAAGGCCTAAAGCAATGGAGTGGCCCTGGGAGCATGGATTAAACCTCTGAAACCATGAGCCACAGTAAGCCTGCACTGACTTTCTTAGGTACTTGGTCACAGCAATGAAAATATAACATAGGCCACTTTGGTGCCTCAACCTGACCACACCAAAGTGGGCTCAGGGACACAAATCCTTTCCAAGCCGAGTGCCAGCCACAGTGTGGGGATGCTGCTCATTTCATGACCCTGACTCTGGGCATTTCCTCAGTGCCACCCCTGGACCAGGGATCCTGCCTTTGTTCCCTGCCTGGCATCATGCGAAGAGCAACCATGCACATCACTTGGAGTCTACTCTCTGCTCCGGAGGGGGTGGCACTGTGGTTATTTCCATTTTACAGATGAGGACACCGGTGTCTCAAGCAATACCCTGTGGATCTGAACCCTAAATGGCTGTGGATTTTGAAAGCCTCATAAGATAGAATTTATTTTTGGACTAGAATTAGAATTAGGAAAGGCAGATTCCTGAGCATCCGTGTGTAGCCAGTGCTGTCACACTGATCAAACTTGCCAATGGAGCCCAGTGGCTTGGGGTGGGCACCTATGGCGTGGCCTCCCATCTCTGCATACCAGGTGGACGTACCTGGTCCCGCTCCCGCTCCACCTCCTCCAGCTGCAGCATGACAGTGGTCATGCGGTGCTTGTACATTTCACAGTCCTTCCCCAGAGTTGAGCACTTGAGCTCCAGGTCCTCCTTCTCCTCCAGATACTGTAAGCGACACGGAGAAATCAATATGTGCATCAAGCAATCAATAGGTCAGGGCTAACAGCTGTTTTCTGGTGGCACACACTGTGGGCTAGAGCTGGCTTGTTCTTCCTGAGCTGCTGTGGTCAGAACATAGCCTGTCCTTCCAAGAGCCAGCTACTTGACTGGCATGAAGGGGCCTTGCTACAAGGTGATCAATCAGACAGGAACAGATAGTCCTACTACATGCCCTGTAATGTGTGTGTGTGGGAAGACGGTGCATCTTTGCTGTCCTCTTGTGGTTTCTTTGGTCAAGAAGAGAAAAACTAAGCTAAGCTGTGTTACTTAATCTAATACAACTTCTAAGAGCTGCAAGGTGGTTGGATTCTAGGAAGCATGGGAAATTGATACCAGGGGTCAGATCTAGCCCTTGGAAAGAGGTATGTCAGCAGGATGTGTACTCAACTGGGAAAGGGGACAGACAGGCAAGGGTGCTGGCTAGCCATTGCTGTCCCCTGGGCTCCCACCTTGTCCCGCAGCTCCTCAGCCTGGCGGACCTCCTCCTGCAGGTTGTAGATCTTATTGACCAGCTCCTGCCGGTCCTCTAGCGCCTCCTTGCGGTCATGCTCCAAGATGTCTAGGATGGCTTTGTTTGAGTCGGGCAGGCTGCGTTTGCCGGCCTGGGTGGGCAGAGAAGTGGGTATGATGATGCTGGGACTGCAGGAGTGGGGAGCAAAGTGGACAGGGAAGGCAGGGACAAAAGAGCCAGCTGCAGTCACGGAGAGAGAAGAAGTTTCTGTGCTGGGAAAGCTCAGGCAAGGAGAAATTTCTCTTGGGGTCTTTTAAGCAGCTTATCATTTAAGAAGTTTATCACCTGGACAGAAGCATTAAGCTCATTTCTGCTCAGAAATACCCTACGCCCATTGTTCTGCCCCAGCTCTTATCAGAGCTTAGAGGGGCACAAGATGCTTCTCCAAACCTTCCAGAGATAACAAAGGCAGGCTGCCATGCTTTCCTGATGTCACCCCGAAATATCAACTAATCTGCTCTGATTAAACTGGGATTCAGCCCCTGTGCTGAAACTGAGCCTGCCCCAGGCAGCTGGTCCTGGGGACCTTGTTGGAGAAGCGCAGGGGGATGCACGAACTTTCCTTTCCCTGTAGTGTATGCTGGGGTGTTCTGCTTCAGTGATGTCCTCCTCTGTCACTACTCGACTGGGATGGCGAGTCAGGGAGGAATCTTTAAAAGAGCCCCAGTGACAGCTGAGCTTCTTGGGATCTTCAAGGGCAAGGCCATTTCCTGGGAATAATTTTCTCCCCTCAGTGCTGGGGCATTGGTTTCTGTGTGCATGGGGATTTTCAGGGAGCGTGTCAATGGAATAAGAGATTGCGCAAATGTGGCCTCTCATGATGTTGTGTTTCTTACAAGGGGGTTGTTACGGTTCAGCTCTAGATGATCCCCAAAGCCTCATCCGCTGTAAGGTGGGACCTCGGGCAGGTGACCAAACTGTGGGAGCCTTCTACTGACTTGTGGTTAGAGGTGGGGTCACTGTGGACCTGTCCCAGAAGGTTGTCCCTTTCTAGCTCCTCCCTGCTTCCAGGCTGCATGGGTTGAGCAGCTTCCCTCCACCCAGCCCCTTCTATCATGCTGTTCTGCCTTGAGCCAGCTGACTATGGACCAGAACCTGTGCAAACTGTGAGCCAACATAACCATTTTCTCCTTTATGCTGTAGCTCTTAGGTATTATATGTCTCAATGGCAGGAAAGTGGTTAAGACAGAGACTGCATGGGGGGTAGCCCCACTTCACAGAGGAGGGCAGTGTGGTGCCCAAGGATGCCCTTTATCATCCGTGCCCTGCAGTTAGCAAGCTCGGACTCTGGCCTCACACCCAGGTCTGCCCTGCTCCAACCTCACCTGCCAGATGCATACTAGCTCCTCACCTGGATGATGGACTGCAGTTCCTGGATCTTGGTCTTTAGCATTTCATTCTCCCGCTCCAGTTCTAGGACTTGCTCCTTCTTGGGCCGACTCTCAATGTCATTCTTCAGCTTCAGAGACTGATTTCTCTCCAACTTACATTCCTCTTCCATCTTATTCAATCGGTGCTTTAGTTGATCGATCTGAAACACCCAAAGGAGTCACGGGGAAATGGTGGCTGGTGAGACACATTGGAATGGAGCAATGGTTCCCCAGATCTGGCCGGGTTCCAGTGCAGCCTGCAGGCCAGGATGCAGTGGAACTTTCTCCAACCACCACCTCCTTGTTGATGGAGTTCTCAGGTAGTTCATTTACAATACTTTCAAAATGGCTATGTGTCTCTGAGAAAATTCTCTGAGGGAACTACTGTAGGGTGTAACAGGTTATAGATCAGGAAAAAAGATACCCAGGCTGGTGTCTCCCTGAGGTGTGTTACTTATTTTGATGGCCTTTTATTTTAAATGGATCCTTGGAACTGAAGGATTCCCCTAGAGAGTCCCAGGGTTAGGGAAGGGAACCACTGTCACCACCCTGACTTCGACCCCCAGAGCAGCTCTGCTTCTGTGTTTTGTCCTCCTGGACTTTACACAAGACTGTATGGGAAAAAATGAACCTGGTGTTAAAAAACAAAATAGCATAAAATGCACTGAACTCTTAATTCACAGGATCTCTGGCCTAAAACTTGTCCAGATTCCCTTCCAGGATGGGGGCGAGAGGGGCTTCCCAGAGGAGGCAGCGACTACATCTGAAAATGGCCTAACTGGAAATGTATGGAGTGTCCCCCTCGACAGTTTATCATCAGGAGCCGGGGCCAGAAGGTATTTGGATCCTTGTCAGTAAACCGGCTTGCTTCCCCAGATGGGCCTTCGGAAGCATCCTGAGCAAGGCAGTGCTCCAGGACTTTGGGGAGGGGGCACCACAGGCGTGAATGCCATTTTCCAACTCTAGGATCGTGGGCAGAAAGCCTCAAGAAATCAGGCAGGTAGAAGGTGGTGGCTTCCACAATAAAAAGTCCGGCACTGTGCTCCTGTGGCCCAAGAAAAAGGCAGATGGAGGGAAAACAGCCTGGGGCTAAGAAATAACCCAGAGACTCAGCTGGCTGGCTGTCCTTTCAATTCTACACACACTTCCTCATTATTAACACATCTCCAGGGAAACATAATACAGGAGAAAGTTCCAGGGGAGAAACTTCTAAGTGGATGCCACAGGTTAGTTTCTATTTTGGGTCATGCAAAACAAAACAAACACCGCCCCCAACCACAAAAAAAAAAAAAAAAAAAAAAAAAAAAAAAAAAAAAAAAAAGTACAGATAGACAAAAAAATCTCTTTAGTATCTTTGGAGATGACTCAAGTCCTGGGCTGGGTCCAGATTCCCAGTTCCACAACGGTTATCAATGACAGAATCTCGGCAGTCCTAGGGCCAGGTATTATCTTCCTTATTGCCACTTAAAAAGAGACCGGAAGCCAATAGCTAAGTAAGTGGTAGGGTTAGAAACCAGAATTTGAACTCAAACCTTCAGGACTAGAAACCAGAATTTGAACTCAAACCTTCAGGACTTCCTAGTTCACGCTCTTAGCTGAAATGCTCTATCGCCTGCTACGCCAGCAACTCAATTCACCTGCACTCTGTGGATTGTTTACTGATCTGTCTGCTTCACTAAATTGTAAGTGACCCAAGCACGGCTCGGGTTATTTATCCCTGTGTCCCTCACAGTGCTTAGCACAGTGCCTTACACATGGCAGGTGCTTAATAAATATTCTGAGAGTCTATTTTCTACCCAGCAGCCACAGTGATCCTTCTAAGATATAAATCAGTTGTCACTCCCCAGCTCTCAATCCTTCAGTGGCTTCCATCACAACGAGAATAAATTCCAAAGTTCTTACTGTGGCCCCCCGATCTGGACCCCAGCCATCTCTCCCACCTCCTTTTGTACCGTTTGTTCATTTGGCTCTGGCCCCAGTGGCTCTTCTGCCATTACTCAAGGAAAAAAGGAGGAAAGAAAAAAACAAAACAAAACCCAGACCTGCACCCCCTTTCAGGTCTTTGCATTTGCTTTTCTTGTCACTGCATGCCTATTTCTAGTTCTTTAGACCCTTGCTCACATGTCCTGTCAGAGACCATAAAGATGGGAGCCCTCCTTCTCTTCCTAGCACTCAAACTACCAGGAATCTATGTATTTGTTTTCTGATCATAATATGAATTCCATGACGGCAGTCTGGAGATCGGTATCCCCAGAAACAAGCTGGGTACATGGTGGCATTCAATAAAGGGAGGGAAAGAATGAATGTGGCAAACTCCCTTCCCTCCCTCCATTCGGATGGTAAACTCATTAGTTATGTCAATCACTTGGCTGGTGGTTTGTTGGCTGATAAATGTATTGACTCTCCCACTGTACTGGGAACTACGCTGAACTTTGCCGACACAGAGGTTACTACAGACAGCATCGTGAAACTAAGGAATTCACTTGCCATAGGTTAGGTGCAGGATCCACTTTTTCAACCCCTCCTCCCCCGCAAATCATAGCATGTGGGTTCTGGTACTCCATTTCTCCCTCACCTTGCTGGGCACAGGTTGTCTGCACACGCACACGCACAGAAGAGATACGAGGTAGCGCACCTCATCTTTGTGCGCACGTGTGCACAGGCGCTGAGAAGATGGGGTTTAGACTTCCGGCCCTCACCCATCTCCTCCAGCCCCTCGTCTGTCTGGGTGAGAAGCGCCGGTGTTGCCCATGTGAGCGTGTAGGCATGTGCGCGTGTATCGCCCCCACCTCGAGTTGGAGGTCCCGGCTTCTCATCACCGCCATGTTTTTCTCTTCACTGAGCTGGGCGTAGCGCATGGCCAGGTTGTAGTTGTCGTCCTTGACCTTGACCAGCTCATCGTTGTAGCTGTCCCGCTCCTCCTTCATCTTGTAGTACCGATCTTGGAAGGTCAGTAGCTCCACCCGCGTAAGCGTCAGCTGCTTTTTCTCATCCTCCAGCTGCCGGGACTTCGCCAGCAGCTCGCAGCGCTGCAGGTCCTTGGCCTTCATCTGCTGCTGCAGCTTGATGACCTCGTTCATGAGGAAGTGCGTGAGGCCCTCGTGGCCCTCCTCCACTACACGGAGGGGCAGCCAGTTAGGCCCAAGGGCGGGGCAGGGGCCATTCACTCGCTCGGCTGCTCACCAGCGCTGCACTGACCTCGTCCACGCATACGCCCACACCCTTCCGACCAGAGTCCAGATGTTCCCGATGGCAGAGCCACTTACCCACAATGGTGGAGAATCTCCGGGTAGGCTCCTTCCCAGTAACCAGCTTATACAGTTCTGGGTAGTAAAATTCCAGGCTCTCCAAGAATACCACATAGCCTCGTTGCCCTTTGGTATGTAGAATGTCTAATAATCGGCCTAGAGGAAAGACACCACAGAGGAGAAAATTACGTTATCTTATTAGGTGCAAGTCTCCATCTCGTTTTATCTTATCCCTAAATAAACTTAAAGAAGATAGTCTCACTACATCCTGTCACTCCTGAGTTGTACTATAGAGTCCGGATAACGAAATAAAATTCCAGGCCCTTAGCATGGATTTGAAGAATATTTATCTTCTTTCTCTAATAAACTGGTAGAACTAGGATTAAACAGCATTGCAGGCACGAGGAACCAGCAGTTTCAAAGCACTTTCCCTTGACCTGGGCTTAAATTATTCACACAAGCATCTGCTCTTCTGTGATTGAAGGAGGTTCGAAGTATATGTAATAATATATGGCTCCCTAGGATTCACAGCAAGAGGAAAAATATTTGGGTGGGAAGCTTTTCAGAAAAGTCAGAGGGAGGCATAGCTCCACGTTCTTTGGAATTATTCCAGAGCTTGGAAAGATTTTAACCTACATGTAATCTTCCCAGATGTTCAGTTTCTATCCTATTTACAAAGGTTTGGATATTGTCTGTCCTCCAGCAGTTCATGTGTTGGGAACTTGGTGTTCAGTATGGAAATACTGGACTGGGAGACCATTTAGAGATCGGCCTAGTGTGAGGTTTTTAGGTCATTTGGGGTTGTGCCCTTGGAAAGGATGGTGAAATCCTAATCTCTCTCTGGCTTCCTGTTGGGAATGTAATTTGTTCCTTATATACATAACTCGTGCCGTGATGTGACACAACCAAGTGGGCCCTCATAAAGCTGAGTTGATGCTAGCACATATCTTTGAATATCTCTAACTTTGAATTAAATCAACCTTTCTTCTTTATAAGGTTAACCTGCATCAGTTATTTCATTATAGTAATGGAGCACAGACCATGATACTACTGATTCCATTTATTGTTCACACTTTATAGGCTTTGCTTAAACATTTTTATTTCAGATATTTTTTCCCCCTTGAGGTCTTAGGCTTTATCTTTCCCCCAGGATAAACATGATATAAATAAATTTTGTCTTGTGTCAATCCTGTGTTGGTGAAGCTGCCTGGAGCCCTGTATTAGAAGGATTTCGAAGTTACATCCAAACTCAGTGGGAAGGCATGCTGTGATTAATTAAGGATGTCGGCCATGGATGCGAAAGAGACTCACAGCATATGACCCACTTATCATCAGTTACACTGCAGGACAGTGATTTCCAAACCCTTTCAACTACAGTCCATGGAAAGAAATAAATTTTATACTGTGATCTAGTGCCCATGCACACAGATAAGTATACAAACATGTGCACATCCACACGCACATCAAACTGAAACAAGTTTCACAAATATGCTTATTACTTTTACTGAATCTGATAGAACTCCATGGCTTGCAAGAGACTCCAGAAAAGCCTGTGGACCCCTTCTCAGAATAATAATTTTTTAAAACCAATTAAACACATCTGACTACAAGCAAAGCCAATTACAATACAATTATCAAATATTAAATCTGTGATTCAGCTATAGCTATGCTACTTTTTAATGCATTAAGTAGCAAGATCTCTTGGCAGATCTGATAACTACTGTACTTTTGAGGAGAGGGGTGTAAATGGTATTTTAAGACACCTGCAATGCTGTAATATGGGATATGAAGATATTTGTAATTATTATTGTTGACACAGTCATGGGCATTAGTAATCACCACTGGGATTTGTTGCCTGCCACCCCTCATATTTGAAGGCAGTGCTAAATTCCCATTAATTTTTGTAAATCAAGATGTAATTCCCCCTCTCTCTAAGTTCATGGGTCTTTGAGTTCTCTATCTTAGTGGTGGGCAGGAGTGGGTGGCAGTCTTTAGACTCAAATTTGAAAATCCCTGACCTAGAAAAACTGCATTTTGGTATAGCTAAGTACAGGGCATGTCCTGGAGCGTGGTGGCCCTTCCTGTCCCCCAGAGGGTTCCTGAGGTTACCTGCCCGGTTGATCTTGGATGGCAGCATGGGGGCGTTAAGTACTTCATCCTCGTCCTGCTCATCAATGACCTTGCACTGGCGCAGGTAGGGGGTGAGCTTGGCCGGATTGATGTAGCGGCTCAGCATGTGCCGATTGCATTCCACGTTCTCCCACAGAGCGTCCTCCTCGTCCTTCAGCGTCTCCATGTACTCGTCCATCTCAGGCCCGCCTCCTTCGGAGAGAACCCGGCACGGTCAGGGCAGGAGCCTCCCCAGAACACTCCGTAAGCTGCTCTAGCATGAGCTCGGGAATATATTGTAAAGTTGAAAGAAAAAAGAGTGTAGTAGCAGAAAGTATATCTGGCATTTTACCTTTGATCTGAGAAAGGGGAAATGAATATAATATCAATATATTTTCCTTAGATACTAAACATAAACAATGGAAGGATAGGCCGTAACATTTTTAAAAGGTTGTTTATTGGGGGAGGGAAGGGAAAACTTGACTATAGCGATACACTTTTTCCACCTAAGGTTTTATCTTACTAAATAGTTCTTTCCAAAACAACAACATATTATTGTTTTTTTGTCTTAAAACTTCACATACATGGTTTTATACTGTATGTTTCCTTTTTCATTTGGTTTCACCCCCTCGGTGTTTCTTTGAGATTTATCTAGGTAGATTTGTTTCATTTGTTTTTTTAAAAACAGCACTATTGAGATATAGTTCATATACCACACAACTGAAATATTAAGTACACAATTCGGTGCTTTTATTTTTTATTTCATTATTATTATTTTTTGGCCGGCTCAGCCCACCCTGAGGGCGGGGCTGGTATGGTATGTGTGCTGGGGATCGACCTGCAGCCACCTGCGCCTGCCTAAACGTGCTGAAGCAGGCGCTTTAGACTGCTGAGCTATCTCGTTGGCCCCTACAAGTCAGGGCTTTTAAATATGCTGTGCAGTAGTCATCATGGTCTAATACTTTAGAACATTTTGTCTTCCTTAAAAGAAACTCATAGCTGGGCGTGGTGGTGCCGGCATGGGATCCCAGCCAGAAGGAGCTCAAGTTGGAGTCCAACCTGGCAACTTAGTGACTTAGTGAAGTTCTGTATTCTGGGTGTATGTCCTTTATCAAACACAAAACTTGCGAACATCCACTCCCTTTCTGTCATCTGTCTTTTTACTTTTTAAAGACAGCATAGCAGAAAAGTTTTACATTTGATATAGTTCAGTTTGTTTTTTCTTTTCTTCCTTGTGTTTTGGCAGGTATAAAAACTCATTGTTTAATTCCAGGTGAGGAAGACTTATTCCTATTTCTTCCTTGGTATTTTATATGCTAGATCTTCTATCTGGGTCTATAATCCCTTTTTAGTTCATTTTTGTGTTTGAAGTAGTGATGAAGTAGAGATCCAAATTCATTATTCTATGTGTGAACATGTTTGTATATATATATATATATATATATATACCAGAAAGCAAACCCCCTCCCCTCAAACCCCTACCATCTCCCTAGCAAATGATCATGACACCCTTATTGAAAATCAACTGACCATAAATAGAAAGTTTTGTTTGTGACTCTTGGTTCTATTCCACTGATTTATATGTTTCTTTTTATGTTGGCACCACAGTGTCTTAATCACTATAGATTTGCAAAAAGTTTTTTGAAATTGGGAAATCTGAGTCCTCTAACCTAGTGCTTTTTCAAGTTTGTTTTGACTAGCAGGGGCCTCCTTACAGTTCCACTGGAGCCTTAGTTCAGTGACTCCACAGAATATGTAGATCAAACTAGGGAGTATTACTCCCTAACAGCATTGAGTATTCCACTCCATGAACATGGGGTGTATTTCCATTTATTTCCATCTTCTTTCAGTAATATTTTATAGATCTCAGTGTATGATATAATTTGTATGTTGAGTGTCACAAGAAGGTTTGTATGTAAAGCCTTTGCCTCCAGGTGGCACTATGGGGAGGTGCTCTTGACCTTTAGGAGGTCAGGCCTTATGGGGAGGTCTTTGTATTTTGGGGAGACAGGTCATCAAAAGGGGCTGTGGGATCCTGCCCATCTTCTCTCTGCTTCCTAACTCATGTTGTGACTGCTCATTCTGACACATGCTTTCACTGTAATGTGTGACTGTCACCAAAAGTGCAAGCCAGCAGGACCCCCGACATTGAACTAGACTCTCCAGAATCGGGGGCCGGGGAGATGGCTCAGTGGAACAAGCACTTCCCTGGCAAACGCAAGGGCCTGAGTTCAATCCCCAGTTCCATCAAAAAAAAATAATAAATAAAAAAGAATCTCCAGAATCAAGAGCTGCAGTAGACCTCACTTCATAGGTAACTTGTGCCAGGTACTTCATTATAGTGACAGAAAGCTGATACAGCATGCAGGTCTTGTACTTCTTTTGTTAAATTTATTCATAAATATTTTATTATTTAGGTAACATAGTAAACGGGAATTATTTTCTGGATTTCATTTTTTTTTCAAATCAAATTGGTAGGACAGTTTCAATAGTTAATACATTGCATACTCTCTTCCTACTGGTTATTTGCTATACAAGATGCAGACATGATATCCTATTTACAAACACTATTAGAACAAATCTCTTTATTCATTAAGAGAATGTAACTATATATCTATCCTAACCACTTTGAATACACAGATACAAAACAGACATTTGTCTGTATCTCCTTTTTTGTTTAGTTCCGTCATTTGAATATTATAGGTGTGTTAACTCAGCAAACGGATTTCATTTGTGGAATGATTATTAATGGTATACAGATACACATTTGATGTTTATATATTGATTATTATATATGTATTTATTAATTTCATTGAGAAACAAATAGCAATGAGACAGTTTCAAAACTGATTAGTAGGACAGTTTCAATAATTAATACATTGCATATTGTTGTCTTAGTGGTTATTCATTGTACAAGGTGCAGACAAGATATCCTGTCCACAAAAACTATTAGAACAAATGTTTCTATTCACTGAATTAAAAGAATGTAGCTGTATATCTATCCTAACTATTTTGAATATACAGATACAAAATGGTCGTTCATTTATATCCTCTTTTTTGTTTAGTTTTGTCATTTAAATATTATAAGTGTGTGAATTCATCAAAATATTCCAAAATAGTCCAGTAGTCCATAATAGTAGTAGGGTTTCTGAAAGACTGAATGTCAGAAGTTGTTGACTTGAGCCTTTTACAGCTCAGCATATTAATATGCCTTTACTTTTTTTTTTCTTTTCAAAGTTTTATTGATAAACATAAAGCAATGAGACAGTTTCAAATCAAATCAAAAGTAGTTTCAACAAATAATACACTGCATATATTCTTCTTAGTGGTTAATTGCTGTACAACATGCAGACTTGTGATCCTACTTA